CGGTGTATTTTTATATTGAAGGATACGATGTGAAAACTACCTTATACGGTAACGGCGCATTGGATAACTCAACACATTGTGACATTCTCAACTCATTACACCAGTTCATTTCTAAAAGTAAGCGCTTCCAGTTATTATCACCTCTACATATACATGTATATTCAATGCAAGACAAGAGTTATATAACTTGATTTTCTGCGGCAGCTCTTTTCGTTGCTAGGCGCAACCAACACCATAACCAAATATTTATTATTCAATCATTTTTCTGAGTGTAATTTTGTCTCAGTATTATTCTTTTCTTGTCCGTCTATTTCAAATATGTATCCAGCTATATTGGAACCGTGTACTGGAGCGGCGTTTACATAAGCCACTAGGCTTGTTCGCCTATCCAGGTTTCTGCATTGACGGAATAAAAATATGTTTAAACCAAATCGTCTGCGCGCTCTGTTGTTCCACGTGAACACATGATCACATTCTCGCCAGATGCCAATAGTGTTTAGAGCTTTGAAAATGAGATTTCCTTTCAAGACAATAACTCCCGTGTCCACCTGTCGTGTCTGACTACGCAGGGCGGTTGGGTAGCCTGGTGGTTAAAACTTTGCTCGTCACGCCGAAGACCCGGGTTCGATTCCTCACATGGGTACAATGTGTGGAGCCCATTTCTGGTGTCCCCCGCCGTTATATTGCTGGAATATTGCTAGTAAAAGCGGCGTCAAAATAAACTCACTCACGCCCAGCAGCTGCACGTCCACAAAATCCAGTGTACTACCATTTTTCACCCATCTTTTTTCTTTAGTTATTTCATGATGTTTTACGAAAGTGTATGAAAACAGACTATATTTCTAAATGTCATCCGTTGAAGTGTAGGCGGAAGAAACGATGATATTTTAAAATTTATTTTATATCTCTAACCCTTTAAGACCTATTGTTTGAAGGTATATATAGGCAGAAATCAAACATTCGTCATTCTTTGATATTTAAACAAAATTCAATTTTCACAAGCCGATATGGCGTTTTTACGTTTTTAAAACATTCCTCATTAAAGATGTACAACAATTCGAAAATATTGGTAATTCGTGGGGACTTTCCTTTAGGTCGACCCGTAGGCAGACTAATGGTTTATTATGTAAATGATAAGTACTATGTAAAGCTACAGTGTGTATATATAGTCATATAATTATAACCAGTGATGAGGTAGAAATCAGTTCACATGTTAATATACGTTTGTCGTATAGTTTCATTTACATGGACACACGTCGTAGACGATGTGGCGGTAATAACGTTGTAGACGTAAAACCCTGAAGACGCAGCTGTTCCAGTGAGTGAGTGAGTGTGTTCGGTTCGGGCCGCTTTCAGCAACATTCCAGTACTATCTCGCCGTGTCAGGTGAGTGTTGGGGGAAACCCTGAGTCATGCAAGCCAAGAACGTTCATAAATAACATTTCTGACAAAGTATACATCATACATTGTAACGTCATACAATGTAGCCACTATAATTAACATTGATATGAATAGGATTGCCATATTATCTTGCACTGATAGTCTTCCATGTCCGACAGAAATACTTTCTTCTGCTGCTTGATTGATAAACTTGATGTTGATATATATGTGAAAATAGATATGCTTGACGACGATGATATGCTGTCACTGTTTCTCGGCGCAGATATACATGACTTAACTGAAGCAACTGACTATGATACATGGGAATACATAATACTGTCATTTTGTCACTTCGTATGGAATCTAAAGAAACATCAAATGTACGTCTACTAAACACAGTCTCCCTACTGCTCACAAATTGTACAGTTATAATTATTGATTAAAGAGCAGTGCAGCATGTCACATGCTTTCATTTTGCTACAAATGTTGTTCATTTTGTTTAATGCAAGTGATGTATTGTTAATGTATTTGATCTTCGGATTCAACTGTGGAGGAAATTCATTCATTCATTCATTCATTCATTGTAGGGCGAAGCTGGCACTGGAATCCAAGATCGGCGGATTCTGACACGGCTCCATGGTAATAGTATAACTAATTTTTCAGGCAAATGCAGAAAGAAAACAAAAGTATAACACTTCAAATGACTATAAAAATATAAAAAATATTTAAAAAATCATTCAAACTAAGGCCTAGTTCGCTGCATATTTTTGCAAAGAAAGAAAACATTCAAATTGGCGCAGATTTTAGGCTGAAGTAAACACAGGTGCCTAATCAGGACGAGTTATCTCCCTTTGACCGTGCCCCGGTCACATTGATCTCAAGCGGCATCATATATACAGGCGTACTGTTTAAATGCAGGACATTTGCACATTTGTATGCAGGATGTGAAATATCAGCAATATTTGCATAAACAGATACATAAGGATAGCAAGTGACATATCGGGAGACGGATATGCTCGCTGGCATGATAAATTCCACATGGGCTTGTAACGCAGAAACAGGCATCAAGGTACAGGTTCATATTGTCACTGCTGGGGGGTTGACCATATCCATTTATATCAGTGCTAAAACCCCGGCAGTGACAATATATAACCTTTGATACCCATTGTGCCTATGTTGGGGAATCGAACCCGGGCCTTCGGCGTGACGAGCGAACCCTTTAAGTACGAGGCTACCCACCCGCCCAACTACCCCGAATACACAGATACAAAGACATGTGTAAAAATGACGTTGCGCCTTTCATGCACTTGGTCAATGTACAATCTGGCGCGTTATAAACACTCCCTAGACGTTAGTGTAAATGCTCGTGGCCATCACCAGGCAACAGGCAGTCGTAGCTTGACCAATAATATGTATGACAGAGTGACGACAGACAAAGCCTTGTGTAGTTCAGATCACACGTTCAGACGTGTACTTAAACGTACTGTTTTTAAAATTTATTTCAATATAGCTGCCATGTATATATAGTATATATATATATATATATATATATATATATATATATATATGTGTGTGTGTGTGTGTGCGTGCGTGCGTGTGTGTGTGTATCTGTACGCAGACTGTCTCGCCCAACGGAAACTATTTGATCGTAAACTATGTGATCGTTTTAACTCTTCTTGGAAAAATCTATTTCTAATGTAAATGATACAAAGCGCAATAGAGGCAATACGTTAATTACGTATGCTACCTTTAAAGATGAATAATATCCTCAATTATATGTATTTAGCCATGTGCCTTGCTCTTAGTCTCTCATAAGTCTGTAAAGATTGGCTCAACGTTTTATTATTTTATTTTATGTACATGTGTGTGATGTTGAGGTGAGACTCAAATAAAGCATCTGTCAGTCTGTCTGAACAAAATACGAACGACCGGCATTAATGTACGCGTCTAACAACAACTACTGCTGACTACAAAACCCTCAGTGTCGGTAGCACAGTTTAACCTGACGATAACTTCTTAAATTTCAAGAAGCTGTTTTCTGTAACAAGGAAGGAGGGTATGCTGATTAACGGGGACAAACGACGTGTCACACCATTGATAGCTGCACAGGCAAAGTGATCTGTAGTTCAGCATCCAAACTTGTCCCTGGACAAAGTGTGTCACACGTGATCTCATCGGGCGAGATATAAATACATAATAAATAATGCGTCGCCATGGCAACAAAAGATTAACACGTGATGTATGTATGTATATGTGTATATATATATATGTGTGTGTGTGTGTGTGTGTGTATGTATGTATGAACACATGACTGAACGTGCGGATTTAAAATGAATGCACAATAGAACAACAGGAACCAACAATGAAATCTATACAAAGTGTAATGGTGACCTCATTTTAAAACCTAACTCCGATATCCCACGAACAATAGCACTAATTACGCTGACCTAAGTATCAGCAATGGGAACCAGGATGAGGTCCGTCTTTATAGTGGGCAATTGCTGGGTTCTGCCTCCGTCGGTCGCGGCCTTGAGAGACTGCATGGCTTACACAAGCTTTAATCGCAGCACGGCGGGCGTGTACTGCAGTCCAGGGAAGAATCGGTGGGCTTGGCTCTATTCAACCAAGAATCCAGTATGTCACCCTACTGGCTTCCTATATCTCATACAAACGTTGTACATCAACCTCATCTATTGTATAAACAACTCATTCCCTATCTACTGTAACAACAACTCCTGTATATATTCTCTCAATTTGTTACTCATGTATCACTTGCTTGACAACGACATTAGAACATATGTCGAAACGTCGCCTCCACAAAATAAAAGAAGTTGTATATCCATTATAATTTGCCATTATTCTTCAAGAATCCAGTTATCAGTCAAATGGATTGACTAGGTTATCTTCGATGCCCTGACTTGTGGGAAAACTGTATGAATTTCTTCTGACATACAGTACAAAATATTTCATTTACAGAAAAAAAAAAAAAATATATATATATATATACATTTACCTACAGCAATGACACCAAAGCCATTATCGATTAAACACTTACATTTATATACATATCTGGTATATGTATAAGCTGTGCGTAGCAATAGAAGGTTAACAGATATTTTGGTAAAATGGATGGAATAAAATAGAAATTGATAAATTTCAATTTCATAAGCACCGCCACTGAGGAGTTAATTATTTAAAAATTTATGTAAGATGGCTAAGAATGTTCATACGCGCAGACAGCGCCTTATAATCATTAAAATGTTTAACTTTCAATCTGCAGTTAAAACAGTGCTATTTATTTCTAATGCCTCACTAGGACAAACCTGCTATTTACCCATTGTCGTTTTAACAAAGTATGTGTTGCAACAAGCAGACGATGTTGCATGTACGAACAAAGGCGCACCTGTTATAGCGCCCCTCGTGGCAAAATAGGGAACTACTTCTTGGGATCGACAATTTCCGTAAAATGTGAAGAATGAGAAACCGATTCATACGCGGTACATGAATAAATAAGTACAATCGACAGTTGAATGAAAAACATTCTGTTTGTTTAATTGAATAAAAGATTGTCTTATTTGACGAAAAACAAACATATATAAGGGAATTCCACAATGACGTCATCTCCGACAAATATTATATGGCGGCGCGAATTCTGCCTGAGTCACGTGACCCCTCTTCTTTCTGTGAGCGCATTTCCAGGTAGAGTTCCTCTGTATTCAAATAAGCTGCAATTGGTAAACAAGACATCTTGATGCATGTTTATGGGTTTTCACGAAACCTCATTACGCAAAGATTACGCCTCGGTTATTTGTTGGGAGATATGTGTTCAATGTTTGAGGTTGTGCGTGATTGAAATTTGTGTAAAAATCCAGCATGGCGTCACATGGTGGCACGCATCACTGTTGTTGTCTGACGACGGACATTTATACATTGAAGGACGTTTGGATGGACTGTAAGTCCATAATTATGGACCTTTCCATTGTAACTTTTTAAATTGTACAATTTACTTGGGGTCCTCCTCATCAATGGCAGTTGTCGCACAGTGTTTTGAAGGAACTATTTTCTGCTGACGGTAGCTCAATCCATGGAGGAAATGTCAAAATCCATGTTCGATTGAATTTCACAGAATATGTTTTTGTGTATCAGACGAAATGATTGATGATCATATTTACTGTACGTAATTACTAGGTATCAAAGTTAGTCGATGTGCTGCAATATGGATGCTGCTTAGATGGGATTTCCCCGAAATATCAATGTGCACGTGGAGTACATCACATTGAATCTCTGCTCGTCAGCTGATACACAAAAATCGAAAAGTGTATGCGAGTTTCTCAACCATTCCCCCACCTGACCTGCCTACGATTGAGGTCGATGGGAGAGTGAAAATGGTTTATGGATCACTCTGATGTTACTAGGATGTTCTGTTGATCTAGTTTGAAGTAATATCGTTTGGAATCTACACTTGTCTAGTCTACAAGGAAGCAGATATGAAAGAAAGTGTTTTGTCATCTTTGTGATTTCCATTTTCTGTTTACAGTGGCCAGTAGTGATGTAAGAAGATATATAATCTGTGAATTGTTTCATTACTCTTGACCTTGTGTCAGTATTCAGCTTGATTGCTCTTTCAAGACATTGTTCTAGTGGCAGCGCCATACTTTAAGCAGAATTATGTCACACAAATTGAAAGCATTTCAAACATGTTTAATTGCATTACTATATCTGATATGTTCATTTTCATTATATTGCCATTATCACGTTATGTGGTAATATTTTAGTACCATTGGGTAAATAATACCTAGTGTGCACAAATCTACGACATGATAGAAGTGTTGCCCAGTAAGCCAGTGTATGTCAGTAAAAAATATAAAGTTTTCAATGCCAATTAGATAGTGAGAAGCCCACAATTTGGAATGTTGCATTGTTTTTTTTAACCTTATGGGGATTCCAGGACTGCATTTCCAACAGCAATCTGTTTGTGAAAGGCCACTGAAATGGATAATATGGTGTTGCTCAGTTATTTGGCTTATTACTTGTGATTCCCTGACAGTGTAGGCGAGTTGCATGGAATATGGCATGTTGGGTCGTGATATAGTTAGAATATTGATGACTTTATCGTCAACCCCCTCGTTCACCATGTTCTATAAAATTTTTTGTTATACTGAATTGATTCTGTAGCTGAACAAAGTTGATCCCAAGCATTTGTCAAAGGTGCATGGACGTACATTGACACAACTACTTCATACCATGTAAACATTTGTTTTCCTAAAAAGTTGGCCGGGTCACAGTTGAATCTGCAAGTTTGTGTTCCTTTGTGGGTGTCTGTCCTGATATGTAATATCAGGTTACTATTCAAATCCATACTCCATATTTATTGATCCCTTTTATGTAGTGTTCATAAGAATAATAAGAGATTGTGCACATTATCTGCACTTGGGTTTTATCTCCAAAGTAGGCTTATGGTGTAAGCAGATTTGTAATTAAATATAGTTTCAGCTTATTTGTTTTAAAAAAAACCCACCAAACTATGCAGTTTCCCAATTTCTGTTAATATGATGATCATTATTACTAACATGGTAGCTTAACAAGGCGACTTATTTACTAATGATAACCAGTCAAGAAGAAAAGACCTTAATCCTTGGTTTCACATGATTACATGGTCTACAATGTTAGCATTCCCGTGATAATGTGGAAGGAAGAACTATAAACAAAATACCCAGTCCAGGGCTCCAGATAATTTTTCATGATCAGGAGTACGTATTCCTTATTTGTTCAGTACTTTAGAGTACTGAATGGAATTTAATGGAGTATCAGTAATCCTGTGTTTCGTTTCATATATGCACCACAACATTGCTACTCTTGTGTAAACAGGGCCCCGTTTCACGAAGCTCTCGTAAGCCTAAGTTCTCGTAACTTTTCTCGTAGCGTCGTACCTCCTATGTTACAGTATAGGAGGTACGAATGCTACGAGGAAAGTTACGAGATCTTAGGCTTGCGAGAGCTTTGTGAAACGGGGTCCAGGTCAATGAACAATAAAACAATATTTTTTCGGATAAATACGTCTGTAAATGATTCTAAGACTGTTCACCATTGCTGTGCTGGGTATTTGCTACGTTTTCTAAATTATTTCCTACAGTATCATACTTATTTTATACCCGTGCATACGCCGATACGGCCCTTATCTGGAGCCCTACCAGTCTGAGTTGAACCCATTTTGCTTCTTTGAGTATTTTGTTAAAACAATGTTTACCTGAAAACTCTTTTTGGCCCCGTTTTCAGCACACTGAAATTAACTTAAGCTTATCCTACCGATTCAGAATTATTTTTTTAGTCTTGGGCTTTAACGCCACAGGAAAATGAACTTTTTTGGCTATTTTGTTCATAGCATAACGTTAGTAGCAGTTATACAGGATTTTTTATAATGGTTTCTTACAATAGTATGTATTATTACAATAAACAGTATAAATCTTCTGTTTGTGCATTAGAAAGGGCAGCCTAAATTACATTGATGTGTACTTATATCCGTTTAAAGGTCAGAGCACTGCTGATTCAGCTTTTAACTTGTGGTTTGGAGTCAAAGCGTACTGTTATCATTTCTAAAAATAGTGATAGGATTATTTAGTAGATGTAGTAACTATATACTGAAATATTTTCCAAATAGAAAGTCTGTGTATGAAAAATTGTTTCCTAGTGGTCTCACTACGGACTTCGAGCAGCAAGTAACTTTGAGAAAACCCATCAGTAGTAACTAGTTGTTCAGGATTATAGCTGAGTTGCATAGTAATCATTCCATGTATTATAGCCTATAACCTGGCTCTTTTTCTTTCAGATTCCTCTTGTACATAAACATTGTACATACTGTATATGATGAGTGCAGCAGTGAGCACCTCGCGTGCCACCAGTAGGACTAGTAAGGACAAATCTAAAGCCACAGCACACCAGACACAGACCAAATCAGATGGACCACCCTCCAAAGTACAGGTAAGATTTGGTCATGACTTGGCTTTGTATATCACAGAAATGTGGGTCCTGTACCCACTAATGTATAGAATGGATGCTGAAAGTACTGTATATGACCTAAATAAGCAGATCTAGATAACCCGGGATCCTAACTTGACCCATAAAATCAGTATCAAAATGGTATGTTGCGTACATAAGCTGAACCACCAACCAGTACATAAGCTGAACCGCCAACCATCGTTCATCTTCTTGTCGTGATCAGGCTACAGAAATAGTGTCAACAAATCCATGTTGAATTTCGGAAGTAAATTTTGTAGTTTACACCATCTTGTAATCACATATTCTTTGCGTATCTCGACTTTTGTTTGTATCTAGTTTATTAATTTCAATCAAAATGTCATTCAATAATGTTTATGTTAATTGTTGTGAAATCTTTGTCCCTTCAGTATATATTATTCAAAGCAAACACATAGTGCATCCACTCACACCTCAGGAAGAAAAGGTATAGTTGACAGAAAATGGCTATGTATATGGAATTTGTTTGATATACTGAGGGAAAAAAATAAGGGATCACATGAAAGCACAAGTGTTTCCTTATTTTTTTGTCCAGGTTTCTTCACTAGCTATGTGATACAAAGCTTGTGAAGACACCTGGAAAAAAAATAAAGGAACACTTGTCCTTTCATGTGATCCCTTATTTGTTTCCCTCAGTATATCACATTTATTCGAAACTTATTGTAGCTGGACAATTTCATGTAAACAAATTAGTGGTGGTCCAATTAATTGAAATAATCGAAGATCGGTCGCAGTGGCTAAACGACCAAGCAATTAATCATCTTTTCTCATTATCGAACACAAACAATTTTGAACACTTGTTTGCATTAACAATATTTCTCACAAGGTTGGTTTTGTCTGTGTCATTAAATTTACATTTCATAAGCTCTACAAGCTTGTTCCAAGTCACGATTGAATTATCTTGAAGACTCCAGGAAATTAATGTTCCTAACGTACTAGTAATCCTTGAAAGATGTGAAATTTGAAAATGCATTTTGTGCAATTTGCAAAAAAAACAGCAAAACATTTTGTCCATTAACAAACATAACAGGAAATTTTGATAAATGATGCTAACCAATTATTTCGATGATTGGTCGGTTGTATTGAACCAATCATATATTATGACATTTTAACCAATTCCCAACACTGAAACAAACTGTTTTGGAGCGATTATAATAAACATTCCCTACCTTATTTTGTAACTATTTTAACATTTTTACCAATAATCCTTTCCTCTAATACTCAAACACATGTATTCTATGCCAATACCTTTAGAAATCGCAGCTGTTAGGGTTAGGTTAGGGTGGCGAACATATCCTATAGCGGCTCCACTGTTTTCACGATGGAAATAGCGAGATCATACGAACCATACATAAACCAGAGCTACAGATAACATGATACATGATTAAGCTGTTGGATGCAATTGTTTATAGTGAATGAAAATAAGGAATGATTTTATCCAATGTCCACTAAAAACGTAAAGAGACTGGTGTTTTGCAATGTTCAGGGTTTACTTGACTTGTTGTACCTACTGTATTTGATGCAGTAATGTTCTGAAATGCAACAAGCAAAAGTGTTTGATAAATATACTGAAAGCCATTAAAAATGCAATTTGACATTCATACTTTCTTTACCCACACTAATTTCAACATATATAAACCTAACTGGCAGATATGTTTTAAGTGAACATCTGTGAATAATTTCATCTGAAAATGTCCAGTCAACAACATCAGTGACGCAACAACGACATCACACAGGAGGTGTCACTTGCAGTCAATATCGTGTGTGTCCACTGTGCGCTGCAAGACATGCTCGCAGTCTTTGGGGTATTGAAAGACACACATTTCTCAGGAACAGCTGTTGGATGGTCTGCAGCCTCTGATGGTCTGTGGTCTGATCATGACACCACCCCCTCCAAAACGATCATGTTCAAGGACACAGTTTGGCGCAAGTCTTTCTCCTTTACGCCGATAAATCTGTTGACGCCCATCTGCAAAGGATAAGTTAAACCTGGATTCATCTGAAAAATGACATCTGGCCATGTCCTGTTGCCAAGATTGGCCCCATTTGCTGCCCATCGCTGTCTGGCAAGTCTGTGGCGATGCAATAAGGTTGGACCACGGTACGGGTGACGCGACACCGGATGTTGAAGGCAGCAAGGCGCCCTTGCACCTTTTGGGCTGAAATGACGTTGACTTGTCCCAATTGTCCTCCTTGCCTAATCATCAGCTGTTTGGAACCGATTTCGCAAGTGTGAAACTCGGATATTGCGGTTTTGTCGAGCTGCTATCACAGGTGGTGCACCAGGTCGCGGACGATCAGCAACACTTCCGGTAGCCCGAAAACGTTGTCTGAGAGTCGACTTACAGTGGATGGATGCACATTAAAGTGCCTGGCAATCATCACATCTGAAGCACCGTGGCTGACCATACCGATACAGTGTTTCCGGTGAGTTTCGAATTTACCAGTCCATGGGACTGGTAAGCCTCAAATATACCAGTCCCTTATTATTTTCACCAGTCCACTTCTTTTCCATGTTAAATAAAGATAACAACAAGAATGTGTGTGTGTGTTTGTGTTTCATTTTTAACTCTTTCAACACCAGTCAACCAGAGGCATTTACTGCCGTGACACCGAGTTCCCAGAGACCCTGAGGTCATAGATGAAGCCTATGTTTATGAAGGAAATTATAAGCTTGTAAAACGTTATTGCTACTACATCCCATACACCATTTAAAAGATCTAATCCTACTGTTGATAAATATGAAGTTTATTTTTATAATATTATTCAAATAATACAACTACAACTTAAATAAATGTATTTTTGAATGAAAATGCAAGCTTACATTTATAACGCCCAGATAAACCACCTAAAAAGCAAAAAACTATGGCGATTTTTTTTCCATTTGTGACATGTGATAACATGTCCGTGCCTTTTTTCTTTTATATTTTCATTTTTACGCCATCAGAAAATGATTATAAAAAGATTTCTTAAATAATATGTATGGTCGCCTCATTTCTCGATATCTGTGGCTTTCCGCCGGTAACATGACATAACAACGGAAAATACCTCCTGGCTTCAGATGCATATAACATGCGGCGTGAATCGCTTGATGTCGGGCATCGCTCGAAAGCTCTCATGGCTCTGAACATCAACAATATCACTGTACCCTTGCCAAGAGTATTTTCACAGTTGTAAGAAGCGCATTTTATTGGATAAAGATAAAGGTTTCTAATGACGCTTTTCGCCACAGTCTGCTATAAGGGTCGTGGTTGGTCAAAATCGGACAAGTGACCTAAGGCAGCCAATCATATTACAGTAATGGATACCGTCCCTCAGAAACGAAAACCTTCTGATTTAGACAAAAGTTTTGGGTAAAATAATGCTATTCTGAACATATTAAGCAAGAAATCGCTACCTGTACGTAAATTATGGAACTTATTGGACGTGTCGTGCTAGGTTATGACCTGTGACAAAAATGCTTCATGTATATATTTTCGCATTAAACATCGTGGTCCGAAATGAAGATTGAGGCGGCGAGAGCCGAGATGTCACTCGTCAGTGACTTGACTTACATTACATGATCGCACAAAAAGATGGAAATAGTAATTTTATATGTACGTTTGACAACTTTTATGAATGTTGTTGTTGATTTTATTCATTAGTTTATTCAATTTATTTAATGAATTCCTCGAAACATCGTTACTTTGCTCTTTGACAATGTTATTGTAGACCCGCTGTCGAAGCATGTGTCCGAGAATCGTTGTTTTCAAGAACATTGCGAAAAATAGTTTATAATTTTAATTCTGATGATAATATATGATAAATTGAAATTTAATAAAAGTGTTTTCAGACATTGTGAAATGTGATAGATTTGATATATGAATCAAAAGTCAGGTAGGTTCCTAAAATTATGTCTCATTTTGACGCTTGTGGCCGATTATTCGCCTGCGGTGTTGAATGGGTTAATATGTCCATTCCCCATCGTAAAGTTGTCTTACTATTGGCCCCGATAGAGTATTGAAATCTGATGCATTATAACCTCATCGCCAAAATGCCTCTCATCTGGATCGAGGCTAAGCGAGACGCCCAGCCAATGACAATAATCGCTTTGGGACTGTTACTAAAAATAGACACGAATTCCTTACACGTATCGCATATGGTGCAGATCGAATTTACATGGAAGTTTCCTTTATCTAACAGTTGCTGGTAATTTGTATTGCCAATTTGGAGGAAATGATTTAACCGGGTGTATTTATTGCCGGTCCCCAGGACTTGTTTGCCATAAATATGCCGGTCCTTTGATTTTTTTACCGGTAAAATACCGGCATATGCCGGTAAACGGAAACACTGCCGATAACCTGATTCCTTTTGTCTTGTGTCAAGTGTGGCATTTTCTCAAAGTGATTGAGTTCCACAATTCCTTGTGCTTTTACAGGACCTGGGTGCAGGTAATGCATGTGCACAACGTGTTTCATGAATGTGGTTGTGTTTCCGAGAAATGTCACAGGTTCAGTTTTAAGTATCAAAGTTCATGTGAGAGGAATGCTCCGGGACTCGGAACTCTAAATGGGCCAGAATAACAGCCTTTTATCCCTACATCCTCTGTATTGCAGGAACAAATCTTCAATAGAACTTTTGTAAGTTGCAGGACAACAAATACCAATTGCGTTTTTAATGGCTTAAGTATATATTTACAGTGGAAATTTTGATTCAGACAAACCATTTACAATGTTTTGTTCATTCAATACTGACTTTTATAGCTCTTTAAAATTGAACAAATCAATAGGCTTCCTTTAGATATAAGCTAAGATTGACATTTTTATAAGGCTATACATAACCCTGATACATTTTCATTCAAATCTGCTAACTCTCTCAGAGCTACAGATAACTTTTTGGGTCATTGAGTTATGTACTCACTTGTGTTCATCTCAGTTGGGTATCCTAATTTTCCTTTGAGTAACCAAGTAAATTGTTTTCCTTTGAGTAACCAAGTAAATTGTACTCATCCCACTCAAACTCAGGTGGGTATTTTGCCATTTTCCATTACTTTTAAAAACACAATAAAGTTTAAATGTTAGTGTTTGTTATATATATTTGATCTGTAATATGAGAAACGATAAGAAAGACTGCAAGTTGCCAAGTTCATGTCCGTAAATAGAATCTCTCAATATACCCGTTATTTATCCACCGGTACGTAAGCTAAGATTTGACATTTTTGTGTGTACGCATGTAAGATCACATTTATTGACAAACATTCAAGCCTACTCGTACGCAATAGCCTTTATAGGAATTGAGTTTTCACATAAATATTTGCGTAATTTACGCAGATACGCAGCTTATCTGTACCTCTGCTCTCTAAACCCAGACCTTAACCTGTCTTTGCTTACAATTTTGATAATCTTTCACTAAATATTTATATGTTTGTGCAGCCATGTATTTTTATCTTATTAGAGAAGGGATGTTGACACTTTTGTCTGTAGGTGTTAATTGTCTATAGGCGTTGGCATGAAATAAATATATATATATTTGTCACTTCATGTTCACAGATAGGATATTGTTTGAAATCTCAAATAGCCAGTGTGAACCATCTTTAAATCATGTCATGGTATTTCTTAACAGAATCAATGTCGGATAATTCAACATGTAATGTACATATGAAGTAGTATTAATAATTAAAACTTTCCTTTTTGCTTCACTCATAATAATTTGCATCCATTCTCAAGTTTCATGCCTGTAGTATGCACATTTTTGTGTGGCATTTACGGCTCTGTTACCATGGTAATATGAATCTGGGCTCTTTCCTTGTCTCCAGGTGAAGTAATTGTAATGACTTTTTACCTTGACCTAAAACTAAGGGTCCAGGGATTCTCAATAAATAATTTCTAGACTCCTGACAACAAACATGAGTCCTTTTAAGTAGTCAAATGATGTGGTTTAGTGTACTGTAAGATTTGATAATAAGTTGTATATGCAATGATTATAACTGCATCTATCAGGATGAAATACCTGGGTTTTTTCTGCATACAATCAATCATTTTTGCAAACTGGTAAAACCCTGAATATTTATTTGATTATATTTATGTAATGAATGATAGAAACACAACATTGAAAATATCAGTGTTATGATCAAATCTTTATTTTAAATACTTGAATTATCAACCTGTGAAATTGTTGCAGCCCACTGAGGAGCAAATGAGAATAGCACAGATCACTTCTGGACAGGATGATGCAGACTTGGCCGCCATAAGCCAGGTATGTTTTCTGTTCTTGACAGTTTGTCATTTGAGAAATACGAACCATGGTAAGTCATTATTCAAATTCTTTTTATAATGGACGAAGTAAAAGCGAATTTTGAAGAATCTTGTTGAAACTTGACTTTTGGTTGTAAGAAAGTGTTGCCAAACAATCAAATTTATAACATATATTATATTTGGGATTACACTTTCTTAGTAAAGTACAGATGCTAGTACTTTTGTTGGGTTGGGTCTAGTACTTTCTAAATGGCATTGTGTATTTCATTACTTTTACATAATTCTGTCATACTTCCCTTCATATTTCCCTACTGAGGTATAACTTATAAATATTGTTGGGTTGAGTCCCATCCGGGATTCGAACCCACACTCTCAGAGTAAGGCACCTAATCAGCCGCCTAACCTGCTCAGCCATGGCGACTTCCACCGACTTAGTTGAAGTTGTGGTGGCTGAGCGGGTTAGGCTGCCGACTTTGTGTGCTGGCGATTAGACTCTGAGGGTGTGGGTTCAAAACCCGGATGGGACTCAACCCGAAAAGTACCAGAATCTGTACTCTACTAAGAAAGTGTAATCCCAAATATAACATGTTACATTTGACCACTTTCTAAATGGCATTGTGTAACTTATGAAGTGTTATTACACTTTTGTGCAATGGTAAAAGCTGTCAGTGTGTAGTTTTTAATCATATGTTCAAAACGTTATGAAATTTAGTAGATGTGTAGTTTAGTAGTGGGTCTCAGCATTTATTTCATTTTGGAATATTTTGTTTTTGACCTTGATTTGACAATTTTTGACTTGACCATTGTGCTACATTGCTGCTTGTTTTTCACCTTTTTCCATTCCAAGAGGTTTGAAGATGAATTTGGATATTGCCCACCTGTACATCCCATTCCCTATGTGTATACATTGTAAATAAGTAATTATCCCCAGCCCAACTGAGGGATGTAGAAACTGAGTCCATCTGTCCATCATTTTCGTTTCCAGACCAAATCTTCTAAATTGAAATACCATATATGACCGTCTATAAGCCGAATTTTGAGGACCAAAAAAAGCAGTCTGTAGAAAGGGGTCGTCTTATCCATGGGTTACGCTTTCGTCAAACTTTTTTCCAGGGGTAAGAAAACATCACTTCGCGTGAACAAACAACAGAAGACGACTTTGTCCGTAGAGACGTCAAATTTGAAATTAAACATCACTAGACAAGATTATTTACCTTATCTTTTTTACCAAACTTGGCATTTGGATAGGTCTAGTGGTGAACTAGTATGCAATACCCTTGATCTCTGTTGATCAAAGCTATGTTGTAGCACATTTTCATGGCTCACAAGAGTTTCACTATCAGGTGGTGAAAGCAGTTAATATTAACAATGTCTCATTTATTTGCATGCCATTCTTTTCAGTAGCAGGCAATAGGTGTGGATATAAATGACTTTGTTCACTTAAAGTTGGTTTGTTGTGGAAATTACTGTTTTTCCTTTTGACAGTTGTTTTTTTAACTTGGTGAAGATGTGATTTAATTATGTTTCACCATAGTATTTATGCAAAAGTGGCTTCCTGTTGACATTTTAAACTGTGGTTACAAATCAGATGAGGTACAGTGCATTTTTCCTCACACTTTGAACTTAAAAGCTTAGATATTTTGGAGCATTGTGTTATTTCAACAGTTTCATTAGTAATATGTAATTTTGAAGCTTAAACATTGTCGAGGCAATCAATTCTGTTTTATTTCTTCAGTTGATGGAGATGACTGGTAAGTCTGAGGACACAGTGGCCGTGGCCCTTCATGACTGCGAGAATGATCTTGAAAGAGCTGCTCTCATGCTGCTGGAAGAACAGGATGATGAGCCTCAGGTAGGAGGGAACCTGTTCTCTTCAGATTTACTATGAAACTAAGACCAGGAAACCTTTTGAATGACAAGGAAAAAATTGTTATGTTATTTTGCCAAGTACTGACGAGGACTCGTCAGTCTGTAACTTGTGCCACTAATTGCCAGAGTATACTATAGTTGTTTGGTAGTGTTCTTATAACTAAGGAACAGTGTAAGAAACCTTTCAAAATTTCCCACTAGATGACAGGACCAGTGAGTGGACAATAATGAGTGGTACTGTCTGTATTTTACTGGTCCAAAATAACATTCATAGATTTACTTAACTATCAATACTATTATATTCATTTGAACGTTTAACATCTTTTAAATTTGTAAAAAATTCACTGGCCACCAGGACCACTGCAAACTTATCATTTAGTGGTCCTGATGAATGTTTACCAGTTAGGGACCACAGGACCAGTGTAAATTTCACAGAAGTAAGTTAGTGCCAATAGATTTCGAACAATTAGACCCCAGAAGATTGACTGATTGTTGACTGATATCTTTGTGTTGTGTCAGGACAGAACTTACTTGACATTGATAATGATAATAGCGATGCAGACCCAGTTCAACTAAATCATAGCAACCTATCTTTGTGCTTGCATTATGGTTCATTTGTGTATAGAATGCATGTTTTAGTGATTGGTATATTGTCATTGGTCTGGCAAGGTCCATGTTTATGATGGTTGTAACTTTACAGGCAGCATGTATGATGCAGCTGGAATATTGCTCAGTATGGCATAAATACAAGTTATACAGAGATTAGTAGTAATTACTAATTATATGACATTTCTTGATTTATAATTGTTATTTTTCTATTAAAATTATGGTCCCTTTTGCGAAGCTGCTGGATGAAAGCGCCATAAACCCATGTTTAACCCGTCAACACTTTTTTGTAGGGAGAATGGAAAGTTGAGCAAAGCAAAAAGAAGAAACGAACAAATAATGCATCAGTTCCCATTCCGAAAACAGAACCAGTAGCAAATCATGTGTCAGACAAATCGGACAGCAAAAGAGATCGTAGTCGTGATGATGACCGACCGGACAACAGACATGATGGCCCTCCTAGACGTGGACGTCGCAATGGAGGACCACCTCCACGTCTGGCTCGTGGTCGTGGGAGAGACAGGAACAATCAGTACGGTGAAAGAAACGCAGAGGGCGATAATGAAGGATTTAGGCACAGAGATGGATTTGGTGACCGTGGTGGAAAGGGCAACTACCAAGATGGTGATGGGTTTAAAGATCATGATGGGTACCGGGATCAGGATGGTTTCCGGGACAAGGAAAATGGTTTTGGTGGATTTGGGCGTGAGCGAAGTGGAGACAGAGGACGAGGCAGGGGTAGAGGTAAAACTTCCTGCTCTTTCTGCAAGAAAAATTGTTCTTAAATTTTGTTAGCAACATCTGTAGATTATTCTCGGAGTGCGATGATGGGCAAGTTTTGAATATATTTTCTGGCTCGAAACCCATGCTCTACAGGTTCAGCCAAGTAGATATTAATTAAGTACATGCAATAAATCCAACTTGTGGTTAATACCTACTTGGGCTGACAGTCCAGATTTGAAGAGGTCATGTTAGAAGATTCTGTATTGGTCATAGCTAAATATGACTAAATATAGGGAGGATCTTCCATATTGTATTCCTTGTGATGAAAGAGTCTGTCAGCCATATCCTGCTTGACTGTTGCTTTTTCCATCACAAGGGATCTATGAAGGATTTAATGGTAGTAGTTTTCATTTGATTGTTGTACCCCCACGTCATGCGGAACGGAAGACTATGTATTCAGCAGCGTACGCACGTCCCGATTCTTATTAACGCGATATCTCATGAACTGTTGTACCCAATGTCTTCAGATTTGGTGACATCGTACATTGGGGGATTATGCAGACACCAGTTGATTTGTGTGACCTTGACCTTATCTTCAAGGTCACCACGACTCTTTGACCATTTTGTCGAAACACGATATCTCATAAAACATTGCACTCAATGTCTTCAATTATGTCGACAGCCTACATTAAGTGATTATGCAGACACCAGTCATTTCTGGCATCTTGTATGTGACCAAAAAGTAAAAAAGTAGTAAATATGTTATAAATATTTCATTCCTCTTTAGCGGCTGGGGAGATAGCCATGTTAGTGGCAAACACCTGTTGGCTTTATAGTGAAGTGACTCAAGTGACTCATTGGCAAGTAGGGTGGCGCAACAGAGATAAAAATTGCCAGTCTTTCTATATGCGAGCGAAAAAAGGTTGGCAACATACTTCCCTTGCTTCGGTTAAAAAAATAATTTGAATAACAAAATAAAATATCGCCACCATCAAAGGCAGACACCCATTTCCTCATAGGGTTGGGCTCTCAGATTTCCAACCTCATATTTATTAATTGCTCACGTACAATATATTTTATTCAACATTTTAAGCGCCACCTGTGGCATGTCAAATCGTTCTTCGCCTCCATTACCTCTGCCAGCTTTCGGTTCAAAGGAGTGAAGGAACAAGAATAAGCAGAAATTAAAAAGAAATATCATATTGCCTTATTTTACCATTAACTGTTGGAGATTGTTTTTCTTATTTGTCATCGTTATTGTTAGGATGTCTGTAACATTTATTCTGCAAAAAAAAATACTTCTGGTGTATTGTGTGAATCAAGGCAAGGGAGGTAACTCTGCAAGTATTCCATATCGGCGGACATGTTATTCAACAAGTATATTTAGATTTAACTACCCTGTTCCTTTATACTCCGTTGAACCGGAAGCTGGCAGGGGTGATGGAGGCGAAGAACGATTTGACATGCCTGGGGTGGTGCTTGAAATGTTGAATTAAGTATATTGTACGCGAGTAATTATTAAATATGAGATTTAAAATCAGAGAGCACAACCCTGTGAGGAAATGGGTGTCTACCATTGGTGGAGGCAATATTTTTATTTAATATTAAAAGTGTTTTTCAAATCAAAGGGAGGGAATTATGTTGCCAACCATTGCTCGCTTCGCTCACCCGCATATAGGAAGACTAGTCATTTTCTCTTTGTTGTGCAACCCTATTTACACTACAGTTTGCCTGTGCTTTACTTGATGGATAAATTTGGATGTACAGGGCATGTTATTTCATATGATTATTAACTAAAATTGTTCATGGCAGTGCCCTCAACTAGGATTGAAGTACAATATGATTATTGTCCCCCCCCCTGAGGGTATATATAAGACCATGTCATTCAAACTATTTTTATATCTACCAGTGTTTAAATCAAAGAATATATGTTATAATTCATGGCTAAATTTGTCGAAAATTGCTATCACCTGAATTCATTGTGGAAATCCAGCTAGATCACATGCAGGTAGCAAAAGTATTGAAAGGCTCCATTGTCCCATGTATGGTGATCTAGCGATCTGTAGGCTGTTTTATATTGTATAATGTAATTTGTGAAATGTTGTTGCAAGATACATCGTAACAATAACCTGTAGCACCAGAAGAACAATTATTTTCTAGCATAGTTTGTTTCAATTCTTGGATCTAAAGGAATTTAATTGACGTTGATGGCTATGTACAGTTAACTATGTTTACAACAAACATACTCATAACAATCCAATTCTTTTGAATTCACGCGACTTGCTGTACATTTTGTCAAATGTGTTTAATGAATTACGGGTTCAAAAGACTAAAATCAATAGTCCCTTTGAGGTTATTATAGCTGTACTTTGCATAATTATTTTCAGTAAATTCAGTAATGTGTTGCATACTTGTCTAGGCACATATTAGATTCACAAGACTGTCCTTTTCACTGTACCTAAGGTGATGCTGGTAACGCACGTTACCAGCATCCCAACATGGCGGCAGGTAAGATCGCTTGGCGATTATTCCCCTCGAATTAGCAGTCTTCCACGTGTTTACAATCAACATTATTTAGCACACTGATTAACTTTGATGGTGGAAATACATTGAATGCATTGAATTTGCTTATTAATGTCTATGTGTTGAAGAATAAGGATTTTTAAAATCGTGCGAGGATGTCGGTAACTCAAAGTCTGGATGTCGGTAGCGTGCAATGAATGATGCTGGTAACGCATACTGTCCTGCTTTAGACGGTAAACAGAAACTGTCGAGTTATGTTTAAACACAAAGGAGATAAAAAATATCAGTTCTTATGTTTTACACAGATGTGTACTGCTGCTACATTTAACAGTATGAGCGACTTTTTCTGTGCGCCAGAGAGTTGTTGCTTGTCTTGAAGCAGGGTGTGTTTAATCACACTATTTATGTGGCGTTTTGTTGAACTTGAACGGATTTAGATGTGTGTGCCCATTGTCCATTACGCTGCTAGCTTTTTCTCTGTCCCTCCTCAATTCGGACATTTGACATGTTGATGTAGATGTTCAAAGTACATTTTACATCGTGCATTTATTGGGTAGGGCTGAATTTCTAAAGCTACATAGTCTGTCAACTTAACTCTTTCAACACCAGTCAACCAGAGGCATTAACTGCCATGACAGAGTTCACAGAGACTCTGACGTCATAGATGAAGCCTATGTTTATGAAGGAAATTATAAGCTTGTAAAACGTTATTGCTACTTCATCCCATACACCATTTAAAAGATCTAATCCTACTGTTGATAAACATGAAGTTTATTTTTATAATATTATTCAAATAATACAACTACAACTTAAATAAAAAAAATTTGAATGAAAATGCAAGCTTACATTTATAACGTCGAGATAAACCACGAAAGAAGAAAAAAACTATGGCGATTTTTTTCCATTTGTGACATGACATAACATGCCCGTGCCTTTTTCTTTTATATTTTCATTTTTACGTAATCAAAAAATTATTATAAAAAGATTTCTTAAATAATATGTATGGTCGCTTATTTCCCGATATCAGTGGCTTTCCGCTCGGTAACATGACACAAAAGCGGAAAATGCCTCAGTTTTCGGAGCTTCGTATGAATAACATGTGAGGCGAATCGTTTGATGTCGGGTATCGTTCGAAAGCTCTGAACATCAACATCACTGAACCCTTGCCGAGAGTATTTTCACAGTTGTAAGAAGCGAATTTATTGGTTTCTAATGACGCTTTTTCGCTACAGTCTGCTATAAGGGTCGTGATTGGTCAAAATGAGACACCTGACCTAAGGCAGCCAATCATATTACGGCAATGGATACCGTCCTCGTAAACAAAAACTTTTAGATTTAGACGAAAGTTTTGGGTAAAATAATGCTATTTTGAACATATTAAGCAAGAAATCGCTACCTATACGTAAATTATGGAACTTATTGGACGTATCGTGCTAGGTTATGACCTGTGACAAAAATGCTTCATGCATATATTTTCTCATTAAACATCGTGTCCGAGCGTGAAAATTGAGGCGGCGAGAGCCGAGATGTCACTTGTCAATGACTTGACTTACATTACATGATCGCACAAAAAGATGGAAATAGTAATTTTATGTGTACGTTTGACAACTTTTATTAATGTTGTTGTTGATTTTATTCATTAGTTTATTCAATTTATTTAATGAATTCCTCGAAACATCGTTATTTTTCCTTATCCTGACTCATGCTCTTTGCTTGTCTTCTTCTTCTTGCTAACATAGTGGAACACTTGTATCTCCTTATTTGAAGCCCCTTCAAAATAAAATCACTAATTGGTACTCACCACGAAGTTGCTCCCCTTTGTTTCCCCTGGCGGAAAGGTGTCGCCACCCTCTGGCCATGTGCTCCACTCTCCTTCTTCTTCCAGTGAGCAGGATGTGAGAGCCTCGTGTCTCCTTACACACCATATCCTTTGATAATCTCTTAGTTTTACCTCTCATAGGTTACTATAGAGGTATAGCTAGTATCCTTTACTATTTGTATTGATTAATTATCGTGATTTCTACTGTTTATTCACGCAGTATTCGCGATTGTTCAGCTAGCTTTACGCTGATGAAAATCTGTACGATTTGTAGATTACGCTTTTCTGCCTCCCATCCACATGTAATATGCCCTAGTTGTTCTACTGCGCGCGCTTAATTCACGCTGCAGTTACTGCATTAATTTATCTCATTCTGCATTTAATAAATATCATCTTTATGCCTTAAGACGCATGCAGATAGATCACGCAAACAAGGGCAAAACATGGCAGAGAGTCCAGATATTCCATCCAGTCAGCTGCTAGCGATCGACCTCTCCCGCCTGGTGTTCTGCTAGAGACCCCTTCGTAGAGGAACGGGACGCAGTCCGCTACTCTCGAAGAAACGACCGCCTCCCCAGACATCCCGCCATTGCAGACCAAGTCTAAGAGGGCTCTCATCGCCGCCTCAACGCAGATTGAGGACACCCCAGGGCAGCGCAGACTTCCAAAGGGAAATCTA